GAATTGGTTTCTCTTGTGTAAAACCATATTGATTGATAGATTACTTACCATTCAGAGAAATATAAAATTTAAACAAGCAACTGGATTATGTCTTTTAGAACTAAAATGAATTTCAAATAAAGTTAGATATTATTATTCCCATTGAACATATCACTTGTGGAGGCCCAGAGATATTCAATGACTACTTCTTGGTAATTTTCTCCACAAGAGTCATGAAACAAAGTGGTGTAACCGTGTTTTAATGCAGATTACTGTATCTTTTAAAGCAAATGACACACATATATATTTGCAGCATTAGTTGTTAGGAGTTACTGATCTAAATATGGCAAATATTCATTTGGATATTATGACATGTTTAAAATTCTTGACATCTTGTATATACATTTAGATATTTTATAACTGCAGGCTGATATAATATCTAGACAGTTTAAATCTTCCAGGACAGTCAGCTATTGATATTCCCATATTGCACACTTGGCCAATTATCTCTGACAACACGAGACAATAGTGCATTATTGGCAAGCTTAATCATTGTTCTTGCCATGGATTTCTATGCGCTAGAAAACAGCAATAGGATATCTGTTTACTACTGCATCTGATGTCAATAAAGTTAGAAAGAGTTGTAGTATCTTGCACATGACAAAGAGATCATCTTTCAGCAAGATTTCAGATGACTAACTAAAACTTACTCTCTCTTAAACCTTTCTCTACCCTTCAGAAGACATCAGTAGGAGCATCTTGCAACTGGTATGAAAAGGAATGTGTTGATGACAACTCTATCTTCCCTGCTGATTTTCGGCATGTCATCTGAATTAGACGGTAACTCTCTTCTTGTTATCATCAAAGAGAAACATTAGCACCACTTAATTCTATGACAAAAGACTCACTGAAAATTTGATTGTGATTAATTTTCGTACTTAGATATTAAAGAAAGCATGAACTAGCAATCAGGTAAGAATTGCTCTAATTAGGTCAGTTATAGAATGGAAATCTGATCCTGTCATGACATTTCCATTATTAGCCAGGAGTGTAATCCTCATTACCATGCAAAGAAGGAATGCATTGGTTTTAAAACATCTTCAGAACCCAAACTACTGTGTCTGTCAGGTTTTGTGCTTGGCGGGCATTGCGAAAGTTGAAGTGAATAGGGTAATCACAGTCTTTGAACTGCTCACAGTCCAATATGTGAAAGAAAAAGTGACTAAATCAAATGTGAGTAGTGTTATAATTGAATACACAAAAATTTGGGTCAGGTGAGAGCAAGGCTTGCAAACCACAATATCATAAGCTAGGAGAGGTGGAGGGTGTGTGGTGAATGGGGTACATATAAGATTATCTTATGAAGGAGTTCAGCTAAGGCTTCACAATAACCATGACAAGGATGGTCAGAGAAACAAGTGAAAAAATTATGGAAAAAATAGGCAGAAATAAAGTAAGAAAATTAGAATAGGTAAATGTAGAGAGGACAAATGAGAAATACTAAAAGTCATCGATATCGATATAATTGCATAGGATAGCATATAATATAGATGACAAACTTGAGGTTGGACATAGTTAAAGAAGATGTAAATTTGAAAAAATGCTGTGATTCAGACTGCAGATCAGAAAATAAAATTTAAACTCTATCTAAATTTATATTCATATTAAAGTTTTAAAATATATACACACATCTGTGTGGTTGAGACATTAAAACTATATAAAAGACCCCATTATCTGAAGTTCAATTATGTAATTCCAATAAATACTAATGAACTGAACTTATTTAAAGAAACAGATATAATTAGAAAAAAAGCCAGTTATATGGTACTTGTAAGTGATTGTTAAACAGAAAGAACAGCAAGTTGAAAATAAAGCGATGCAAGAAGATGTACCTTGTGATTTCTCAGAAGAAAAACTGGTACTACAATATTAAAATTAGGTGAACTAGACAAATAGCACAATGGTAAAATGCTTGTGTTGGTAATGGAAGACAAAGCAAATATTCACTCAGATGATATAATCATGATTTTTGTGTGCATCTATCCCAAGGTTTCAAATATATAAAGCAAAAATTGATAGAATTAGCTAATATAATCATAGCAGAAATTAATAGCTCAAGCAGTGACACATTGGTGAGTAGATGAACTATTTGTCTAAAAATTAAGTAATACAATATAATGAACACACTATAATAATGGCAGAGTGCAGCAAGTAAAGAATATTTATTATTTTCAAATGCACAGTCATTTTATAAACTATTTTAAAGAATGAATAAAAATTAGACATTCAGTCAACAATGCAGTAAATTTAGAAATCATCAATTGAAAGATAGATTTAAAAATCTTATACTTTTGGAAAAGAGAAAGAATTGCTAAATAATTCAAACCCTCAAGAAATTTTATAACGGAAGTTACAAAGTATTTTGAAGTAAATGACAATAAGAATAATTCCTAAGTAAGCAAAAGAAAGAACAATAAAATCTTGACAGATAAAAAGAATGACAAAACCAAGAAACAAGAGAAGATTAAATAGTTCTCTGAAAAAGCTACTTTAATAGAGAAAACTGCAGCATAACTAATTATTAAAAAGAAAGAAGAGACAGACATAGAAGATACTAGCAACAAAGGAGGAAAAAAACATGTGGAGTAGATATTTATTGTTTGTTATATTTAGTTGTTTATATTTAAGGTATACAACTTGACATTTTACTATACTATACATGTCAGAATGATTACTACACTGAAGCAGATTAACACATCCGTCTCACGTAGTGATTTTATTTTTATTTTTATTGTTTGTGTGTGTATTAACAACAGCCTAAAATTTCCAGTTTGCAGTGGAATATCATCACTCTAGTCTCCGTGCTGTGCATTAGAACTTCAGGCTTATTTATCCTGTGTAACTGCAACTTTGTACCCTTTGACCACTGTCTCTCATTTCCTCTGTCCCTCTTTCTCTGGTAAGCACTTGCCTACTGTCTGTTTCTATGGATTTCATTTTTTTAGATTCCACATATAAGTAAGATCATCCAGTATTTTTTTTTTCTGTGTCTTGTCTGGAGTAGATATTTTTTAAAAACCACAATGACATACTACAACAAATGCTTTGAACACATTTGCAAATCTAGTGGACATGTATACTTTTAGAGCAATAGATACATTATGAAAATTGTGTTAAGAAAGGATACTCAGTCTGGGAAAACCAAAAGCCACCAAACAGATTAAAACTGCAAAGGACATGATCACCCTCAGTGTAGAAGGGAGCCAAAGTTTGATCATAAGTCAATTGAGTTAATGAAAGGGCAAAGCAATCTACCTAAGAAACATTGCTAAAATTAGAATAAAGCTTAGTTTTTGTATTAGTAAGTAGTATTGATACAATGTCATCAATTTCCCCTCATTATCCATGATCTCCATCTGTCTTTATTCATTCCCACTGGAATTTCTAACTCTGTCCATCTGTTCATCAATTTCAACTGAATATGCCCCTTTCCCAGGAAGACCTTGATGTTCCACTGAGTTCTTTTTTTTTTTTTAATTTTTATTATAAAGATGTGGGATACATTTCAGGGTTAGGTATACAAACACTGATCATGCAAGTACCTTTGTTGATGAGATGTGCCCCTCCCTCCCCTAGCAGTTTCCCACTACTGCCAACCCCCCCCCACAGTTTCCCACTACTGCCAATCGCATTATAATTGTTCAAGGTCCATTTATGAGTGAGAACATATGGAACTCTGTTCTTTGTTTCTGTGATAAATCACTGAGTATAATCGACTCCAAATCCAAGGCAAAAGAAACCACGAAGAGAGCAGGGAGGCAACCCACAGAATGGGAAAATATATTTGCCAACTGTTTATCCGACAAAAGCCTAACATCTAGGATCTACAAGGAACTCAAACACGCTGAAAGGAAAAAAACAAACAGCCCCTTTAAGAAGTGGGCAAAAGACATGAATAAACACTTCTCAAAAGAAGTTATATACAGACAGACAAAAGGCATATGAAAAAGTGCTCAGCCTCACTCATTATCCACAGACTTCTTTATTGCTCTCCTTTGACCGTTTGACTTTGCCTGGCATCATCGTATCTGTGAGCATGTTCACCCTCCTCAACTGGATTTCAGGCCTTCTGTGCATCCCCCACCCTGCCCAGCATGGTGCTTTGGGTAGAATGTGTGATTAATACTAAGGCCGAGGAGATACCTGGCTATCAGCTCTCTCCCTCTAGTTACCTGCTGTGACATTAAAGAGTTACCCACTGTGACATTTAAACTGTAACGTTAAAGAGAGAGAGAGTGAATCCAAAATAGCATCTGGGCCAAGACCTTCCCTGGTGATTGCAGCCTCACCAGGAGGGGGCTGGCACGTTCTCAGGTCCTTTGGACTACCGGGCAGACGGGCAGAGCGAGTTCACTCACTGCCCTTGACTGGCTGAGTCACCTGGATTCACCCAGGGCTCAGGTTCCAGCCAGCTCAGGCTTCTAAATATAAGATGTGTCCAGGGGTTCCAGACCACATACAGCGGGCCTCCTGGCCTGCTAGGGTGATGCAGTCTTTCTTAAATCACTAAGAACTGGTTCTTTCAAAGTATGCACTTTCCGAAGCAACTTTAGAATAGCATGTCTATTTTTAAAGAACTAGCTGGAGAAAACAAATAGGTAAGTGACATCATGACTATGAGCATTTTTTCCCTGCTCTTTAGGTTTGATTTAGGTAGAATAAGTTGTGTGCATTATCTGTCATGGGATAAATAGTTTTTATTTCTTTTCCAACAAAATATGCGAGTCGGTTGCATCCTTTTTTGCTTATTGCTATATTTGTGTGTTTGATTACCATTTTGTATGTATGTTTACTTTCATCAGGTCTTTATGAAAAGGTAAATGATGTTGCTTTGCTATAGTCGCATAAAAAATGGAAAAGAGAACTCCGTATTATGAATGTCAATGCCTCTTTTCCCCATCTCCATCTTCTGTTTCTCAGATTGTTGCTCACAGCCCCTGGGTGCTTTCTCCCAGAAAGCCATGGCATCGGTACCTTCCATTGGTTGCCTTTTGGCCAAAAATCAGTATTATCGAAGTAAGTTGCATCGTCATTAGATAATATCCCCAGATAATATGATTTGAAGTGCTGTCTGTGGAATATTTTTTACTTGTGCACCAAGTTATGTTCAGAATGTAAGGGAGAAAATGGACCACTATTGGCGACAGTGATAAAAACAAGGAAAGACGTCAGAGAAATCTCTGAGCCAATGTTGTCAAGGCACATTTATTTGCTATTGCTATGCTATATTGAAGAAGTCATTACTACTTATGAATAAGTGAAAATAAGCTTATATCTTATAATTATATTTTAATTTCAGATAACTTGCATTTGATACGATACCTTAAAAGCTAGATAATTTGACATAAACAAAAGGTTCAAATATTAGAAAAGAAGTGATAGCATGACTGCTTCAGAGATTTTTTTCAATTATCATCTTCTGTTATGGATTATGGGTCTGCATCTATCTGTTCAGTTTTATTTTTATTAAGCTATCCATCTATGCATACTCATAGTCCAACAGAAAATTGTTGCCCTTTAAAGAGGATTGAGGAATTTCATAAATAAAATGAGTATTTTAGAACCAAATTAACATTTGTTAAAAGTATCTATGCCAATGACATATAAAAAGTGCTTCTCTCAAGGGTCATTTGTAGTGGAAAAATTAGAACTATATATTGAATTATTTATTGTCTTTACAAAAATTTTAACTATACCCATTGCTTGGTGTTACTTATTAACAGAAGCTGTTTTTATATTCTGGCCTTTTGAAAGGCTTACAGGTTTAAAATACAAGTCTTATAAAACAAAATGTTTTCCCTTTTACAAGAATTCCTTAATTTCTAAATTTTATAACTTTTGTAGAATTTCAAATATATGCATATGTAATACTTCTAATGTAGCACAATAATATTTATTGTAAGTCTTTGAATTTGAAAATATTTATAGTATATTTTAAATTATACACCTATATCTACGGAGTGGGAGGGTCATTTACCATGGAAATTTATATATCTTATTAATAGAAAATGCAGTATTCCTTATTATTAAAGCTTTTTATTGATTGATAATTTGATGAAGTTTTCAATTTATAAATTTGCAATCCGGGGTAAATTAAAATACTGTTCCTTGAGAGTTTGTAAATAAATAAACTGCATGTGCTTGTTTGTTTACCAGTTATTTGCTTGTTTTTTTTCATTTGTTTTCTACAGAGTCCAGTATTTCTTCCGAAAGTTCTCTAACTGGCTGTGACCCTGTTAACTTCACAGGTGATGACAAATCCCAGCAAGGTATTTGTTTATTTCTTATCGGTGCTCCCCTCATTATTGCCCTTTGCTTTTAATCTCTCAAATTTGTTTGATAAGGGTGGAATATAACTTTATTTGATAGGGTTACCAGAAGTGGCGGAGTCCACCTGGTGGTTTAAATCCTTCTTCCATTCTGAACCTGTGCTTTCGAATGTGAGAATAAAAGATCTGCCTTCAAGTAGGTAAGTCTTAGCTTTTTCTTAAAAGGACATTTCTTACTTAGTGAATGCAACAACAATGCATGTAGTAATTGTTATGCTACTCAATCAGGAAACCAGACAGTTGTTTCTTGAGGGTAGTGAGGTACTGATATGAAGCACACCTAAGGGATGAGGAAGGTGCACTTAGCTTTTCCCTCATTCTAGTTGGCCATCTGGAGGATCATGAGCACACTTTCTAATTCAATAAGCAAAGAGTAATTGAAAAGTCATATGCCAATATGTACCATTGTTTAGCAGGAAATGTATTAGAAATAAGAGGCAAGGGTCTAAATGGATTTTTCCACTGTCTTTAGGAAAAGAATTACCATTGTCTAGCTGCTATCATAGGGACCTAGTTTAGCCCGGCTGATGACTTTGATTAGCTTCTGTGTGCCAATTGCTAGATAGATTGAATTGGGGGTTTACGTACAGTCGTTGTCATGCATTTTGTTTTTGAACTCAACTGCATAGCACAATTTTTATTTGATATTTTAAAAATACTTGTTTTTGGACTCTTTAATAACTAGCTACTAAATCAAGTAGAAATAATACATAACAATGAAATTCATTGATTCTGATGTTAAAGCATAATGATTTTGGCAAATTTTTCACCTAAGATAAATCTAAAATAAAATCAATATTTAAAATAGCTTTAAATCTATGTAAGGGTAATTGTTGGAAAGATGTTTTCTTTACTGTCTTCACCAAGTTTATAGACAAATTATTTAGATGGTGTTTCATTTGTTTCTCCACTTTATGTTGACTGTAAAGACAGTCTAATTTACGGACAAGCATTTTACAACTAGTCATTTTTGCACTATCATTCTGTGAACATGTTGGTAATAGTTGACTACTTTATATAGCGCTAACAGCTGATTCTGACAATCAAGATACTCCACCTGCTGCAGTGCTACATAGGTATATCCCTGGCCTTGGGCACTCCAGCTATTCCAGAGGACTTGTCTCTATTGCAAGAAGACAAAACCTTGCCTACCATCTAATTTTGGGACAAGATCATAACAAATGTTTTGGTATTTTTCTCAATACAAAGGCCATCACTGCAAGTGGATCGGCTACATAGAGAATATCTGAAAAGCGTACCTTAAGAATCATGCACCCTTTTAAAGTAATGAGTCTTCAAATGTTGTCATTTATATAAAGAACCTCTTTGATTTTCCATATTATTTTTATTAAAATGCTTAAGTTAGGTTCTTTTTATGTCTGTGGAATGATTTATATATTATGCCTTAAAATTGATGCATCAATATTTCATGTCATGATTTAAAGGACACTGAATTCAGAAATGTAGAAAAAGTTGCAACAATTGCATTTTTTAAATAATAAAATTTGGAATAACAAACATATCCTTAAATACACTATCTCTTAAATATATTGCTGTATATCTAACCAATTGGTTCTTGTGTAGACTTTAAGATTCATGATTTTAAATAATAGTTAACAAAATAGAAAATTATGATATATAATATCGAATGAAAAAAGAAGTACAGTGCACTATATATGATGCAATTTTTGGTTGAATTAAAGAGTTATATGTGCATGAGGATAGATTGGAAGGAACTATGGTAAGACAGTAAAAGTGGCTATTTTTAGACATTGGGTTATGAGTAATTTTTATTTTCTTCCTTATAAATGTTTCTGTATCTTCAAATTTTTTCTAATAAAACAAGTTTGTGTATACTTTTAAAATAAATATTAATATAAACAGGAACACTGGAATAAATTTTCTGAGAGCATATATTCCTTACATTGAGTAGATTAATCCTTATTTCTCTCAATACTGGGTAGACAATACGTAATGAATTTCAGTTGAAAAGGTTCTGTATACCACTTGCAGATATTTTGCAAGGTAAGATGTGAGTCTTGAATATTAGGGGAGCTGGATTCACAGCAGAACATATCATTAGAGTCACATGGCTAATGTTGCATTAGACATCCAGTAGACCACACATGATTGCTAGTAGAACAGTCTTCCTGCCCAACTACATAATCATAAGGAAGGACCAAGGTTGATCATTGCCAGTGATAGATACCTCTGACTGATTATTTACTTTTTGCAAATGGGAAAGGCATTTCTTCAATTTTCTATTCCTCTCTCACTTAGGCTGTCAATCAAGGGACTCAAATATCACATTGGTTCACAGCATTGTTTACTTATTATGGGTGTGTTGGTGGTTGCCTATATTTGTACTTTTGGTATAGCTAGAGGCAGACTCAGTTTTTGTGTGTATGTATATATTTCCCTTAGTTTTAGTCTAAAATCATAATGAATAAAGTCAATTTTTTAAGTGAGAGAAAAATATTGTGAAACAAAATAGTAGACTGTGGGAGGTTCTGTTTTTGCTTTACTATTATCAGCAAATTCCTGTTTTCTTAATTATTTGATATATGAGTGAACTGACTGCTTGCTTACATTATTTGAGTAATTTTGTAAAATAAGTTAGTGAGTTAGCATTTATTTTGTTTACTCAGAAAGATACGATTTGTTAGATTATTTGAGGGCTTAGATATTTGTAAAAATGACTACTTGCATACCAGTATAATCTAGTGTTGATTTTTTGATAATTATTATTATAAGTAGTTGAAGTTTGCATCGCATATTAAATCAAACATACCGTAAGCATTTATAATTATTAAGAATTTTCGAATGGTTGCACACACACACACACACACACACACACACATACACACACACACGTATACATGTGAAGACTTATAGAGAGATAGATATCTTGAAAAAATATAAGAAATCTTTCTGGAAAAGAATATCAAATTGAACTCACAAAATTATTTAAAACATTGAACGGATTCCTGCATGCTGCCTCAGAGTTTCTACAGAATTGGGGTGATAGAAATAAACAAAGAGAACAAAATGTCTGCTGGTTAATTCTAGGTAATTTCTTCTGACGTATTAAAAGATACTTTGGTGCTGTCTTTAAATTGTACATCGAAATTGGGTCTCCGCATTACTGCTATTTTAGTTAATATACTTCCTGCCCTGCTTTCTTGCCAATTGGTCAGAGAATCAGCAGTGAAGGCTAAATATGTTGGAGGCATGCCATCAATCCAGATGATGAGACACACTGTGACCGTTATAATTTGATATTATGAAATGTTATTTGACTGTGCTTGTATATCTTTATTAAATACAGTAAGATTTTCACAATTTCTGCTTAAGTTCTGTAAAATTGTATGTTGGATTTCCACTGCGTTTTTTGGATATATGATTTTGATTGTAGGTTTTAAGTTATGAACCTCTTATATTTTTCAGATAAAACCACTAACAGCCAATCCACCAATTATCTCTAGAGTAGAAATTCTCAAGTTGGTATCAATACTTACTAGGTACTTCATATATTATGCAAAACTTAGAGTTGTAGGAAACAAAATTGCAGAATTTTATTTCACTGTTAAAGAGTGATGAAGACAAAATTCTTTTAAAGAGCAAAAATAATTGTTTAGGTTGAATGGAATAGAGCTACAACAGCTAACTCCGAAATTTAACAAATTTTAAGAGTCATAGTATATCTAAGCTCCTACAAAATCTTTTGTCTTAGAATGTCAAATTCAAGTTCATGCTCTTTATACTTCACCATATCTCCTTGTAGTATCTTCTCTCTCAGATAATGACAACACCATATATCAGCTTAAGGAAGTAGCAAGTTATACTTGATATCCTACTTAATATTAAACTCAACAATAAGTTCTTTCCATTTCATTTCTTTAGTGTTTCTGGGATCTATGTAAATATTTTGTCCCCCTCAGCACTACCAGCATCCATACTTCCATTATTTCTCCCTTGGCATACCACCATGGCCTCCTAAGTGGTCTATCCATACCCATTCTTATCTCTTTCCAATCTAATGCCCTCTGCAGAGTGGCCACCCTTGTCTTGCAATTTACAGTCTGATTATATTCTGTGCATTCATACACACTCACGCATTCACACACATCTAAGACTCAATAGGTTTTATTGCACTGAGGGTAAAGTCACAACTCTCACCAATCCTGGTCATGGTCTAGCCCCTGCAGATTTTCACAGCCAACAGTATGCCTAACACTGCTCCCACAGCTTTCTGTCTTCCGGCTACATCAGTCTTCTTTTGTTCCCTGACATCCATCACCTTCTCTGTTGCCACGGGGTCTTCTCATAGCCTGTTCCCTCATCTTAGGATCTTCTCACTCAATGCTTATGTCTATTTTATATTTTTGATTTTCTTTTTATTTTAAAGATGTGGTGTTCAATTTAGGGATCGGTACATATATGGTCATCACACAGGTAAAGTTTGGGCCTCTCTTTGATCTCCACTTCACCTGGTTTGCGATCAAGTACCCTTATTGTTGTTATGTGCCCCTCCCCTTCCCTGGCAGTTTCCCACTACTGCCAATCCCTTTCTTATAGTATTATGATAAATGCTCAGGGTTCGCTTATAAGTGAATACTTTTAAGTGAGTACTTAGATGTTTCTCTGAGAGACCACTGAGTATAAGAGACTCTAAATCCATCCAAGTTTCTTTGAAGTTCATAATTTTGCTTTTCTTTATGTTTGCATAATATTCCATCCTGATATGTACCACATTTTCTTTATTCAGTCCATGTTTGGTGGGCAGCATGGTTGGTTCCATGTTTTGCTATTGTGAATAATGCTGTGACAAACATGCGTGTGAAGGTATCTTTTACATAGAATGATTTGAGTTCCTCTAGCTATTTTCCCAGAAGGGGGATTGCTGGTTCCAATGGATAGTCGTTGATTTTTAGATTTTTTAGGAATCACCACATTGTTTTCCATAGAGGTTGTACCAATTTACACTCCCATCAACAATGTAGACACCTTCCTTTTTCTCCAAATCCTCACCAGCATCTGTTGTTTTTTGAGTTATTAATGACGGTGAAGGCCATCTTGACTGGAGTTGGGTGATATCTCAGTGTGAATTTAATTCACATTTCTTTGATAATTAGTGAGGCCAAACATGTTTTCATGTATCTGTTGGCTGCTCATATGTCTTCTTTTGAGAAGTGCCTATTCAAATCCTTTGCTGACTTTTTAATAGGGCTGTTTGTTTTTTTCCCTTTGGCATGTTTGTGTTCCTTGTAGATCCTAGATATTAGGCCTTTGTCAGATATACAGTTGGCAAATATTTTTTTCCATTCTTTGGGTTGTCTCCCCACTCTCTTGATGGTTTCTTTGCAGAAGCTTTTCAGTTTGATGAGATCCCACTTGTTTTTCTTAGCTTTTATGGCATTCACTTTTGGAGAATTGATCAAGAATTGGTTGCATACTCCAATGTGTTTCCTACAGTTTCTTCTAGGATTCTTGTCATTTGAGATCTTATCCTTAGGTCTTTGATCCATTCAAATTGTTTTTTGTGTATGGTGATAGGTTCAATCTTCTGCGTGTGATCAGCCAGTTTTCCTAGCGCCATTTACTGAATAGGTTCTCCTTTTTCCAGTGGTTGTTGCTGGGGGCTTTCTCGAAGATGAGTTGGTTGAGAAATTGAGGTTTTGCTTCCGGAATCTCTATCCTGTTCCATTGGTCTATATGCTTGTTTTCGTACCAATACCAGGCTGTTTTGATTATGGTAGTCTTATAGTAAAGTTTAAAGTCTGGAAGTGTGATACCTCCTGCTTTGCTTCTTTTGTTGAGGCTTGTTTTGGCTATTCATGGTCTTTTATGTTTCCTTATGAATTTCTGTATTGTCGTGTCTAGGTCTGAGAAGAATGATGTCAGTAATTTAATGGGTATTGCGTTAAGTCTGTAGCTTGCCTTTGATAGGATGGATATCTTAACAATGTTAGTTCTTCCAATTCATGAGCAAGGAATATTTTTCCATTTGTTTGTTTTATCTTTTTTTTTTTGAGCAGCCTTTTGCAGTTTTCTTTGTAAAGGTCTTTCGTTTTTCTGGTTAGGAAGATGTGAAGATATCTCATTATTTTTGTGGCAATTGTGAATGGAATTGTGAGTTTTATTTTGCTCTCTGCTGTTGGTATATAAGAATGGGACTGTTTTTTGCACCCTGGGACTTTGTCAAAGTCCTTTATTAGTGCAAGGTGGTTTTTGACAGAATCTCTTGGATTTTCAAGGTATAGAATTACATCATCAGCAAAGAGGGATAATTTGACTTCCTATTTTCCTATTTGAATACTCTGATTTCCTTCTCTTTTCTGATTGCTCTTGGTATGACTCCCAACACTATATTGAACAGGAAGGGTGAGAGTTGGCAGTCTTGTCTTGTTCTGCTTTTTAAGGGAAATGCTTCCAATTTTTGCCCATTTAGCAATATGTTGGCTGTGGATTTATCATAGATGACTCTTACTATTTTTAGGTATTTTCCATCTATGCCTAGGTAGTCAATGGTTTTTATCAAGAAAGGATACTGGATTTTATTGAGAGCTATTTCTGCATCTGATAATATTGTCATGCAGGTCTTGTTTTTATATCTCTTTATGTATTTTCTTACATTTTTGGTCATGCAGATGTTGAACCAGCCCTGCATCCTGGGAACGAAGCCTACTTGGTCATGGTGGCTGACTTTTTAGATGTGTCATTGTGTCCAATTTGCTAGAATCTTGTTGAGGACTTTTGCGTCTATGTTCATCAAAGAAATTGGCCTGAAGTTCTCTTTCTTTGTTAGATTTTTACTCAGTTTGAATATCAATGTGATGTCAGTTTTGTAAAATGATTTGGGGAGGGTTCCTTCTTTCTCTATTGCCTGGAATATTTTCATTTGGATTGCTATCAGTTCTTCTTTATATGTTTAGTAGACTTCTACTGGAAAGCTGTCTGGTCCAGGACTTTTTTTTGTAGGTAGTTTTCTTATGACAGAGTCAGTTTTCTAGGTTGTTATTTGTTATTTAGGATCTCAATTTACACTTGACTCAACCATTGGAGGTTTGTGGTATCAGAAAGTTCTTCATTTCACTTAGATATTCAAATATGCTTCCATACAGGTGTACATAGTAGACTCTGATAATTTTTTGTATTTCTTTGGTGTCAGTTGTGACTTAATCTTTTGCAACTCTTATTGTGTTTATTTGGGTTTCCCCCTCTTTTCCTTAGTTCATCTGGTTAGAGATCTATCAATCTTGTTTATTCTTTCAAAGAACCAGTTATTTCTTTTGCTGATTTTTTTCTATGATCTTTTTTTCCCTCTATGTCCCATATTTGGGCTTTTACTTTGGTGATCTGGATTTATCTGCTGAAGTTAGGGTTTTGGTGGTCTTGTCTTTCCACCTCCCTTAAGTGATTTGTTAGACTGTTAACTTGTGACCTTTCTATTATCTTGATGTGTGTTTGGAGAAATATAAATTCCCTTTAGTTCTGTTTTCATGGAATAACAGAGATTTTGGTAAGATGTGTCTTTATTTTCATTTGTTTCCAGGAATCTTTTAATTTCTGTTTTGATTTCTGTGTTCACCCAGGTTTTGTTCAGTATCATGCTGTTTAGTGATCATATCTTTGTGTGTTTTGGGGGTATTTTGCTGGTGCTGATATTTATTTTATTCTGCTGCGGGCTGAAAAGGTGTGTGGCAGTATTTCAGTCTTACAAAATTTGTTTATGCTTGATTTACGGCCAAGGATGTGACTGATGATGGAATACTGTGTGGTAATGAGTAGAATGTATATTCTGTTGCTGTTTGGTGGAGTGTTCTGTAGGTAACTATTGAATCCCTTTGGTTAAGCATCAAGTTGAGGTTCAGGATCTCTTTGTTGATTTGTTGCCTCAATGATCTGTCTAGGGCTGTTAGTGGGGTATTTAGGTCCCCAGCTACGATAGAGTTAGAGTCAATATCTTTTTTTAGTTTGCTTAGTAGCTGCTTGATAAAAACTCCCGTGTGGGTGCATATATATTTAGAATGGATATTTCTAACATGGATTGAACGTTTTATTACGATGTAGTGTTCTTCTGCTTTTGTTTACATTTTTGATAACTTAAAGGTTGTTTTGTTTGATATTGAGATCATGACTCCTGCCTTCTTTTGTGACTCTTTGCTTGAAAAGGAAGAACAAAAGAAAGGTTATCCTCCCTGGTCAAAGATGATTCCAGAGGGGTGCGGAGATAGCCCCTTGGTCTCTGGATGCATGTTGTCCTGAATTGGATGAGCTAGAGAGGGTCCCAGCTAGACACTGGAACCAAGAAAATGCCATCAAAATGGCGTTCACTAGCATCTTATCCTCTGGGGGGCTCAGCTTCAGATCTCCTCCCTGCATCTGCTCTGTGGTCCCTGCGGTCAGCGCTCAGCCATTGCTGCAGATGGTGGTGTGGGCTGGGGATCAGGGGCTGAGAGGCTGCCGATTTCTGCTGCCTTCT